ATAGCACGGTGACCCATACTTTTTATTACATTTTTGAAAAAAAGCATAGACAAATCTTCATTTTGGCAAAGTATAAGAAAATTCTATCTCAAGAAATATATACCTATGATCTACCTTAACAGCTGTCCATGAGCTCAGAAACGAACGTTGATCCCAATCATGTGACTAAATGTTTGAGGAATTGGAAGAACCACAATCGATTCAATTGTATTTTTGGTATTACTATACTAATGTAAAGCAACCGCAACAATATAGCCAAGAGTGCTGGAAGTGGCTTTGAGCACCAACAATCAATCAATAAATCTGTCAAAGTATGCATAAGGCGTTGAATGTTCAAATATATTTGCCACCACCATCACTAAATAATTAACGAAATACACATCTGATGCAGTAAAATTGGTACCGTTAATATTATTCACATCAGAAAGTTCCCTTTATGTTGAAAATTTTGAACTGTAACTTCGCTCTGAATCAATCCACATAGCATGTGCAATGTTATCTGGTGTTTCAAGGATGAAACCTTCAAAAGGATTTAGCATCACTATTGATGATTTATATTGACATGGATTTTTATTAATATACTTTCTACAGAATAGTAAATGTTCAATAGTAGATTCAGAAAGTTTGATATAAGAATACTAAGACCCAGATGTGCTTTGAAATAAAAAAAATATGCATTAAAAACATTAGACACAACTGTTTTCAAATCAATTCAATTGCGCGTCGAAAAACACAACTCAACATCATCAATAGTGTACAATACCGTATTGATTCTTATCACTGGATTTGAACCTTCTATGAGCAGCACGACGGGTGCAACATGTGTAGAAGAATCTGCTTACTCTGCCAGAGCTCCTAAGATACCCCCGAATTTCAGTGCGTTTCGTGTTTCTTAATCTCTATTTTTTAACGTTGTGTTTTGAGGACTGTTGTCGGTCTCTCTTTGACTGATGAGTTTTGATTGCCATTTTTGCAACTTCAATTTCTACTACACATGTCTTGTTCAATACATAATCCATCAACAAGGTACATAATGACTTGTTTACCTTCTTATTATCGATGCGTGTACCCAATCGCAGTTTCGTCAGTTAAGTGAAAGGAGAGAATGTTGCACTAAATCCAAACGGAAGACATTCTTTAAAAATGAAGAACCTCAATTGTCCAAGAAAAAATCTTAAAAAATCGTATGTGGTTCAAAGATTTCAACATAGGGAAAAGCTTAGTGAACATTAAACGTAAATAACTAAATATAGAATAATTAAATTTAACACCGGTATGATATTAACCAATTTCTATAATCTACAATTTAACACTCTGCTTCCATTAATGTTTATTTATCGCTCTTAAATTACGTATCAATCTTTTCTTTGAGTTAAATCAAAGTGTTAATTAAGAAGAGAAACAACAAAAGGCTGCGTGTTGCTCTGATCGATTAAACTCTGTGTAATATATCTTAAATAACTGTATCTACAATCAGAACAATAAAAATCTTATTAGCTATAGTTATAGTAGTACGTAGATGGCTGCATATACTAGTAATACAATGGTATCCTTTTCTAATTTTTATGCCTTTTCACACATCTCGATCGGTGTGAGAAAAATATTTCTCTCTCTAGAGAAAACTTTGTTCTCGGCAAATTATTGGTCAAAATTTAATTATGACGTCAAATTTTCTTGGTATCTTCTGTTTTTCTTATTGATACGTCATGAAAAAAGGCGGTCATTCCTGATGACGTCACATATAAAGAATACAACTTTCTGCAAAACTTTGAAAAGGAAGGATAAAATTTGTTTAGATATCGTCTAAAACTCAAAAGAGAAACAGATTCCACCATTATATCTCGTGTATAACGATATTTCTCCCCTTTCAACAGTTAAATTTCAAATATTCAAAAAGCTCGGCAAGCCTCGCGTTTTAGATTTTAATATGTAACTGTCTTGATTGGAGAAATACCGTAACAAACTTGATGCAGTGGTGGAATCTGTAATTCTAACCCTGTCTCCTTAGAGTTGAAAATAAAATAATAAACACCTATATCTATCTTAAATTGAATATTGTCTTTCAGTATAACAATAAAGTCAGTTCCATCGTTATTCGAAATAATCACCCCTAGAAGGTTGAGTATACACATTTTCTCATGTACTTGTATCACAATTATTCGAAACTACTAATGTTTTAACAGTCTAGCCTCATTTGCGCTGTGCTTCTGTTTTGTCGTTCTGGAAGGGCAGTATAAAGTGAATGTACGAGCCACATTTGAAGGAAAGTCTCCGATGTGATTTTCCGGCGTATTGGCCTCGGACAACCTTCATACAAACATAGCCGTTTCGAAAGGCCGATTAAGGGGTGAAGCTAGGATGAGGAGCGCCAAAAATCTTCAGCTGATTCCAAGATTGTTTGCTCTTCATCTTTTTCTTTCTAGTAACCCTAATATGGCTCTTATAGTCTTATAGTAATCTTCTGAATCACTATCTATGATATAACTATGGCGAGCAGTATCCCAGTCTCCTTCAGAAGTGTCGACAATCTGTTTCGTTGTTTGTGTTTCTCAGTAGCTACATGATTCAATCAAACAACCAATTTACATTAAATATATCGAATTATTGGTTGATTGGTTAGTTGTTTTGGATGGTTGATATATTTGTTGATTGGTTGTTTGGTTTGATAATTGGTTGATTAATTGCTTGATTGATTGATTGGTTGATTGATAGAAATTTTGCATACTCTCAAGTTTGATTAATTTCACATTCATTAATCGATGATTGGCTTGATTGTGTTTTTTAGTAAACAATTCAATCAACTAACCAATTTACTTTTAATACACATCGATTGATTGTTTGATTGGTTGGTTGTTATTTTATGGTTTACTTGATATTTTTGTTGCTTGGTTGGTTTATGATTGATTGATTGATTTTTGCATACTCTCAAGTTTGAATAATTTCACATTCTTCAATCGATGATGGGCCCTGTGTTGTGTTGTTTTGTGTTGTTTTGTTTTGTGTTGATTGATTGGTTGGTTGGTTAGTTTGTTTGTTGGTTTGCTGATTCAACATATTGGACCGGGCCTCTAGGAACAACCAAAAAAGGAAGGAAAAACATAGCTCCCTGTTAAACACCTTGACCGGGCCTATAGGACCAAGCGAAAAAAGAAGAGAGCCTAGGCCCCCTATTTAACACATGGAACTGGGTCTCTTGGAACAAACGGAAAAGAAAAGACAGGGCTTGAATCTCTTTATTCGGGTCCGTACAACATGTTTATTTGTATATATATTATGACATTTCTAGGAACATGCAAGAATATAAACACCCCTCCAAAAAAATGTCCTTGCATCTCCCATTACAAATGTCTTTCTTTTTTATAAGGTCATCCTAGATTAATGTTTTATTTGTTTGTTGTATATTTTTTTCAATTTTGTAGGGAAATCGGACCTACTAGTAAATCATAACTTTTGATGAATTTAGTTGTACATTTCTAATTCTACTCGAATGTGAAAAACCCTGTTTTATTTAAAGAAGCAAGCGCTGAAGATGGTGTGATTGTGACATTACGAAGCAGATAATATTGTCAAAATGATAATCTATTTGAAGTCTTTTAGAGGAGGATGTTGAACAAAAAATCTGTGTATTGATTTTATTTATTACAGATAACTGATGTTTGATTACGCATGCTTTTTCTGTATTTATGTATCCTTGGAATTTAACAACACGTTTATCGATTTTTTTTTCTCAGAAATTTTTAAACATATTTTAACAAGTGTTACAGGAGCACACATTTGTAATGTAATGCATGTTTAGAAATTTGATTGTACGATTACACTTATATTTACGAACTCGGAAGAAATTTCTATGCCATTGATTTTAATCTTCTAGTCAAGGTCAGGACGCAAAGGTTATCTTAATGCTAACTGGAATATTTTTTTAAATTCAATTACAGGTAAACTGATGTCTATAGTCTTCACTCATTGCATGCACAATAGACCTTTTCCAGTTGATTGATTGAGATAATATACATGTACATTATGATAGGCGCAAAATGTGAAGTTTTAGTTAGTAATTTGTCCATTACACCCTTTTAGGGGCATTCAGACCCCCCCCATTAAATGACGCGTACCATTTTGACAAAAGTTTTCCAGTTATGACATGTCGCGACTAACATTTTTGATAATTTATTTTGTCGATATCTATAACTCTTTCTGAGAAGAAGCGATTTGAAGTTAATGTCATTTAGACATTTGAAATTTAGAACATGAACTTGGTCTTTGACTTTGACCTCATCTTAAGGTCAAGGCGTCTATGTCTATACTGCCTACATTTTATGAGTTACAAAAAAATAACGACAAATGTCATTGGCAAAGGTAGATAACTCCTATATTATATCACTAGATCGCCTTTTTTTTGTTACGGAAGAGATAAACTCACAAGAAAAAACAGTGTTGGGGATACATCTCTTACAATAAAACGTCTTAGGCTAAACAGGGAGAGTTTAAAAAGCGCAATAACTGTTCGATATGATATGCATTGCAGCGACATATTTCAAAATCACAAAACACTGGAAGAAAAAAATAGCAGGAAGAAAAAAAAAATAATAATCAAAACAAAATCAAAAGGTCTTTCCACGAAAATGGAAAGACCTTATACGTGATCATTACTTTATTTGTTCTCGATTCTCCTTTGCAAGTACAATGAAGGTGCAACGCTTATCTTCACCTGTACTGATAAAACGACGACAATTGTACTATTTGATCAGTTTTTATCTTGTAAAGTTATACTCTGACGCAAATGAAACAGGTATGGTTATATTTTATTAGTTACCACATGCTACCACATATTGATTCCGGAGACGATGACATGGTGTCAAATATAAATAATAGGAATTTAATGAAATCTAAACTTGTATTTAAAATCTTGAATACACAATATAACTTTAAAATACGTTATTATCTGTATAAGTTATCCGATCGATATATCTTGAGAACGTTTTACTATATTAAAACACAACATGCATACTTGAAGCTTTTAGACGATATCCTTCATATCATTATTGCATAATTGTATATTGTTCACAGGAAAGTTATTTAAATGGGTGTTATTCTATAATAGACAGAACAATGATTTTCAGTTGGATTTTGATAAGAGCTAGTCCGTGCTCTGCTGCACATGAAAAGGGTACAAGGTACATTTTATTTTGATTACTTGTTGCGTTGCGTTGTGTCGACTCGGGTAAACACTAAAGATCACTTCATGAAATATTGAAAGCTTTAAAATAGAATGCATTTCATCAAATTCAAATGATGTTCAGCTTATTTTACACCGAAAAATCTGTAAGTAGACAAACATTTTACACCAATCGAGAAACAGTTTCGTGTTTCTTCCGGAATTAAATTATGTTTCTATTTCATTTTCAAAAGTTACATATATTTTGTTTTTGTAATGCGTTCGATAATGGACAAGTTTATATTTTTGGAGGGTTAAATATTCTTGTTGTTATCTATCGTAAGTTATCCCCTAATATCAAGAAGGAACTAAATGTTTTTCATCCTTTTGCATTGGTTTTATAGTTAGTGAGACAAGTAAAAATAATAGAAAATATGTCCAAATCAAGTCTGATTGAAGTTGGTTATTTTATCAATATCAAAACTGAGTGATACTACAAGAAGAAACACTTGCTAACGGTCTGATGTATGGAACTTTGGTAGATAGTTGTCTCATTACCACATCTCATTATTTTCATAATAAATGAAAACAAATATATAGATATACAGCAACAAACAAAAACCACTGAATTCCGGGATTTTGACTTGGGACAGGAACACAAAGAATGTGGATGGTATTAACATGCCTGCGGGCGCCCAGCTCTCCCCAACCTTAGAAAGTGATATAACAGCACAACATAAGAACAAACCATAAAAATCAGTTGAAAAATGCTTGATTAATCAGATAGACACAAAGCAAAAAGTTAAAATAAAAATAACAACAAACCAACTAACAGATAGACTGAGACACAAAGTACCAATCTAAAAGTGCTCGAAGTTACCAAAAGCTAGTTCAAAGCAAATAAAAACTAATAAAAAACGTGTATTCAATACTTAAACATCAATCAGTACACTTCCAATGGATTTAGTTAAAGATGTCATAAACTTTAAAGATGTTGCGCCATGTCAAAATATTAGTATCGCCAGAATGTAGGACCGTGAATATTCATAGTTTCATTTTTTAAAGGCTTTTCAATCAAATTACAGGATAACGGTCCCTAAACAGCTTAATATCACAAATCTGATATGGATTCAGATTCCGATGATGATTGGCATGATGAAGACACAAACCAACGCAGGAGTCTTCGAAACAATATAAGTTCAGAACAAGGTACAAATACAGAGTCATTACATGAGACACCTGAGTCCTGGTTTCACGAGGGTTTGGAAATCAATCGATACGAATTCATCAGGACTGAGAAAGTATTTGTATTAAGCCCTTTTCTATATCGGAACATATTTTCACCATTTGATGAAACTAAATTCACAGAACAACCTGAAATATATAAAAAATGTATGATTAAAATCTTATCAATGGAAGAGGCTGTTTGTTTTCCAGAAGACAACAAACATATGAAAATAAACATTTCTGGGCGAGAAACTTGTGGACAAACATATACAGACGACACAGTGTATGTAAAATTATCTAACGATGGCAAGCCTGAAGAAGATAGAAAACACTACGGCGAGGTAGTATCTTTCATAGATAGAAAACGCTTCAAAGATGTAATCCATCCTGTTTTTGTTTGTCTTATCGATCGACGACAGAGTCATTTGATGGTTCCAATTTGCAAGACTATTCCAAAAATTAATATTTTACATGGGCGTCTTGCAAAGTGGTATCCAGAGCGTTTAAGAACAAGTGTTGAAATTCATAAGCACGATTCAGCTACAAATGATCTTAAGTTTCATAAGTATCATAACATCACAGAAGGTGACAAAGAAAACTGGTTGTTTATTGTAGTTCTTTTAAAATGGAAGTTAACCAATATTCATCCACTTGGCGCAGTTGTAGGTGTAGTACACAGCTCTCAAGATATAGAAGAGGGATTAACGCTTATTTCTTTGCAAAACAATTTGCCCTTGTGGTTTGATTACCCTTCAGTCGAAGAAATTCGAGAATTAAGAGTTGACTTGAAAGCACACGGTTATCAAGATATAACCAAATCCGATAGGATATTTACAATAGCTGGAATAGAGGAAAGTTTCATAAATCATGGTTTTAGCATTAAGGTAGTTAAAGAGAACATATTTAGAGTTGGTGTTCATGTCACTGACGTTAGCAAGATCGTTCACATACATGATGAAATAGATGAACAAGCACGATCACGCGGATTTTCTTTTCAAACTACAAATAAATCACAGAATAATCTTATGCTACCTGATCATATCAACAATCTTTGTAGCCTAGAACCATGTCGCAAAAGATATGCAATATCAATTTTCTTTGAAATAGACCAAACTGACCCAAACAATATACGTATAGAAGACAAAACGATTTTAAGAACGATAATAAGTTCATCTTCTCATTATAATTACATAGAAATAGATAACATTCTCAACAATGAAGGTATTATTGATGATATGTTCGCAGATATACAGCTTCTTTTTCAAGTGTCAAAGAAATTGAAATTCCAACGTCTTAAAATGGAGTCCTTTACATCACCAATATCAGTAGATTTTACAACTACAGACAGCGTTATGAAAACAAAAAAAGCACATTCTTTAGTTGAAGAATATCTTGTTCTTGCCAACAATACAGTAGGAAGCATACTAACGCAAACATTTCATATGAATGTACCTGTTTTCCATGCATTACAATTGGCAAGAGACGGCAGAAATAAACAAAAAGAATGGTATTTGTTGCACAAATATTTTGCCCATCTTTTGTGTAGCAAACAAGAAGAGATAACTGAAGAAACAGGACAATTATCAATTAATAATGCACAGTCAGTACCAATTTACTTGTATCAAAGGTTAGGTGACGACTCCCCTATGAGTGAAAATGATGAAAATGTAAATAATGAAAATGAAAACAGACTTTTTGTTCCGATACAAACACATGTTTTAGACCAAATTTTAGGACATGTTCAAATCGATAGGAATATTGATGAAGCAGTTGAACTTATTTGTTCTGATTTCATTCATCCTAAACAGGCTTTAGCTTTGAAAGAATGGCAATCTTTTGAACCTATGCCTCAGTACAGAATGTCTGTACTCACTAGAGAAAATCCAACTGTTCAGTTTACATGCCCTCTTAGTAGATATTGTGATATCATCGTCCATCGACTGATACATGCTTATTTAGATGGAAGAAATACTCCCTATGAATTTACTGAATTACGAACTATATGTGAGTATTTAAACACGTTGTTGAAAAAAAGAAACGATTTCAATTTGCAGTGTAAAGAACTAGTTCTTGCAAATTATCTAAAGACACAGCCAATTATTTTTCAGGGTTTCGTTTCTCACGTATCACCCGAAAGATATGATATTTTCATACCAGGTCTTCATGAAACTATGACAAAAAGTGTGTCTGTAAAATTCAGCGAGATAGATGTTTGTAGTATTCCTGAAATCACTGAGGACAACGATATGCTATCATTCAATGACAATACAGACACTAGTGATGATCCAGAATGCACAGAAGAAAATCGAAATAATGAATACGCAAGTTCAAAAGTAACGGTGAAATGGAAAAGGCGTTTATATAGCTTTAAAACTACTATATTGCCGAAACCAATGATTGATGATGATGACGTACAAACAAGACCTGACAAGTATGTAAAGATATATCCTCATCTGAACACTGCATTTGTTAGCTTTAGGTTTTGGAAAAGCATACTTCAACATGTCTTCGAAGAAAATTATAATGCATTAAAGCATAAACTGTCTATAAATACCAGAGAACAAATGATGCAAGAGCTTGAAAGAAATAAGCAGCACATAGATAGTTTTAAAAATAGTGTAAATGACGTCAGTTCTGAAGTATCCGACCAGGTAATAATTGATCACTTTGTTCCATTCCAAACATCATTTCGACACGGCCAAATTGTTACGATTCAAATGTCAGCTAAAGAATTATCAGGAATTCTGACACCAATTCCACAAATAGTTATCCTGACAAACAGTATCAAATTTTGTCTGCCACATGTACAAGATCCAATCAAAACGTTTCTGAGATATGCAAAATCCAGTTCGATACCTAAGTACAGGAACGTAGTGGACTACAAGAATATCTGGCTCCCCATTGTTGAAATGGAATCTACTTTTAATGCTGTGCATAGTGAGGAATCAGTCATAATAAACGAAGTACCCCTTAAATTCAAAAATATCCAAGGGATGTTTGAGCTGGATCAAGAATTTTGTGACAAACGTGATTTGGAGTTTGGATATATTCCAGAAGTGGATGACAATGAAATGGGATTATTAATGAATGAGAATAAAACATATTTTCCGCTACCTAGTGGAAATTTTCTTTGCATAATGAAAGACCAAAACCTTGACTGGGAAACAAAACAGAAAATAGGAAATCAGGTTCTACATAACGATACATATTTATGGAGTGGTCATGCGGAGACTACAAAAATATGTAAATATCAGAAGTTGGAACAAAGAAGGAATGGAGGTCAACATAGATCAACCAAAATTCGTGTTATATTCCAACTTCACGAAAACAGTTCGCCGCCACCTGCTACTATGTTAGACGATTGCAGACTAGAGATAATTTACAAATCACCAGTTGACAGGTAATTAATCTTAAAAATAAGAATGTAAAAAATACTGGAAACTAGATATATATGTAAGTAAACAAACAAAGCAGTTTTACGGTGCTCTTCGGCTTTGTGCTTGTTTTGGCTTTCGGACTTTTTTGGTCTGGGTGTCGCTGGTTGGTCTTGTGTGGACGAGGCGCGCGTCTTGCGTGTTGGGTTTTAAGCCTGGTACTTTTTGTTAGCTATTATTCGTATGTTTCTCTGTCCTATATGTTTTCCATTTATTTGTATTGTAGTCCTGTCATGTAATGTTGTCATTTTAATGTTATATTTAACATTGCCATAAAAGCGGGAGGTTTGGCTAGCCACAAAACCAGGTTCAACCCACCATTTTTTCTGGAAAATGTCCTGTACCAAATCAGGTAAATTGGCAATTGTTATTGTTTAGTTCGTTTCTGTGTGTGTTGCATTGTCGTTTGTTGTTTGTTCACTTCAGTGTTTCTCTTGTTTCGTTGTCAAAATGTACTATATTGTATTGTTTATTTGCGTAATTCTCTGTCCGTAATGTTGTACTGTATTCATGTCATGTAATGGTGTCATTTTAGTGTTATATTTAACATTGCCATAAAAGTGCGAGGTTTGGCTAGCCACAAAACCAGGTTCAACCCACCATTTTTTTCTTAAAATGTCCTGTACCAAGTCAGGAAAATGGCCATTGTTATATTATAGTTCGTTTATGTGTGTGTTACATTTTAATGTTGTGTTTCTGTTGTGTCGTAGTTCTCCTCTTATATTTAATGTGTTTCCCTCAATTTTAGTTTGTAACCCGGATTTATTTTTTTCTCAATCGATTAATGAATTTCGAACAGCGGTATACTACTGTTGCCTTTATTTACAAAAGCCTGGTTACGGAAGTATATAAAGCGATTTATCTAATGTTAGACAGAAAAAGAGAGGCAAAAGATAACAAAGGAAAATTCAAAATAATCAGTCGAAACTAAACTGACAACGCCATGGCAAAAAAAGAAAAAAAAGACAAAAAAGACAAACAAAAGTATACAAAACACAACATAGAAAACTAAAGACTGAGCAACATGAACCCCACCAAAAACCGGGGATGATCTCAGTTGCTCCGGAAGGATAAGCAGATCTTGCTTGGTTTAATAGCTTCCTTGTAAGCAGGAACCCTATATCAAGGAAATCATGATAGGAAACGCAAATCCCTGATATATCGTATCAGCTTGGAGATATATACTCCATATGCAGGCGCGGCTGGAATGTTGCTACATAGTATTTGAAAGTTCACAATTTGGAAGATGTAATCATCTCTTTTGTCGTAAAGTTTTTTTTTATACCGACCCTCGATGTTCATTTCTAGATGTAAGTCAAGATATAAGGCACAACTAGTTGTATCTCTTGTATCCTTTATTTCAAAATCGATGGGATATATACGTTCAACGTAATCACCAAACTTTGAATTATTTAGTGGGAAGACATATCTATATACTAGTAGAGGAATGTGAAGTTAAAGGATAAAGCTCCTGTGTGAAATCAGATGTATGAACGTTTTTAATTCTTGATTTTGATATTATATTTTATATCTAAAAATTCGTATGTCTCACGTCTTCAGGTAAAAACGCACCAGTATCTTCAAATCAAAAAAAAGAAAAAAAAATACAACTATAAATGCTGTTGTGTATCTTTATATCTTAACAGGCGTCTTGAAACTCATCTGAAAAAGATTCGACAAGCGAGCGATTTAGCAAAAAATATAGCGGTTGGAAAGGATATCAATTTCCCAGGTTTGTATACCTATGGTACATGTATTATACAATTTCCTTTTCACTTCATTCATTAAATTTTAATTAGTTTGGTTATTTGTAAGTGTTTAGAAATTTCCTCAATTGTTTTCTTCTTCTTCTTTAGTTGGTTCTGTTATGTTTTTGGGCATAATTAATGATGAGAACAATTCAGGAGTAACAGCATATAGAAAAATCTAGAATGTTGGGTTCAATCGATTCAATAGTAAAATGTATGTGAAAATCAGAACAATTGGACCCCTTTGTAGCGCATCGAGCCATATTAGACTTTTTTTCAGTATCAAAATAACAACATTTGGTAAGATACTTCTAACAATCCTGTATTACTTGTTTTCATTTCACCTAATTTGTTTTTGAAAGAAAAGTCATATAATAGAAAAGAAAGGATATGGGATATCCATCCATGACACAAAATTAGTATATGCACAACAAAAAAACAAAACAAGCAAAGGGACAGCGCTTTTATTGCTGTTCTTCGTCTCAAAGTCACAATGAGCCTTTAACACGGAGCAAGAAAATAAATTCTCACTTCACTGCAAGTATAAAATCTTACTATATGTAAGTTCTGATAGGATTTTCATTTAAGCTTTGACCTCATATTTCGGCTATTTTGAATTTCCGATCTGCATCAAAGACTGAGATCTTTCAGAGGGACAGTTTGATTCCAATTGTAACTATTTGATATCAAGTTATATTACTTATTAACGTATTTCAAAAGATTAGTACGACCGGTGCCACACGCGGAGAGGAACCTGCCTACCCTTTTAGAACACCTGAAATTACCCCCAGGTTTGGTGGGACTCGTGTTTCTCAGTCTTTAGTTTACTCTGTAGTATTTCGTAGACTGTTGTTTGTCTTCCCGTCGTTTTTCGTTTTTTAGCCTTGTCGTTGTTAGTTATTTTTCTAGTTTTAAATGTCCCTTTGGTAGCTTCCGTATGTGTTTGTTTTCTAATAAGACGATCTTGAATATAAGAAAAATTATATTGTTTTGCTCCCGGTAACAATATTGGACTTTTCAACAAAATCAAAGTTGTAATATTTGCTTTAAACTTATGAGAATCGATGCTGAATTATTTGTTTCATTTCACTTTATCCTTTCTTGACAAGAAAAGCAAAATATTATTTCACATCGCTAATGTTAAATTCCCGGTCTCATGTATGTATTATTATACGTTATTTATAATACATATAAACATAAATAAGCGATTGTAACAAATTATATATATTTACTTCTTCCGTATAAGAATATTCTACTTTCCTGTTGTTTCATGTAATTTTTTAAATTTCGCAAGTTCTGTGTATATTTTAATGTCGCTGGCGCATTTATGTACTTAAGTTAATCTAGAAAATCCTCGATGGGCCATCATGAGTTAGATTTATAAAATGGCAGAACTGAATGTTTGCCTCAAACCTAATTATATTTTAGATCGTATACATTTGGAAGTAGCGGAACAGGTTGAAACAGAAGGTCTCGATGTTGATATGTGGCCAAATAATCAACATCAGCACTGGGCTATTAAAACTTCTCTGAAAAGAAGATTTAAACTGATTCAAGGCCCACCAGGTTTGAAATTATTAATTTTAAGGATCATATGCACACTTATTATTACAAAAAGAGATTTTTCAAATGTCTTTCTCTTTTTTGGTTATACGACTATCGTATAGTGTTACTCTTAGTATAGGGGCTTGTTGTTTACGTTGTATTTAATTTTTGGTAACGTTAGTCATTGCAGGTCAATCTCAAAACAATTCGACAAAAGTGTTACTCGACTCAACATTAAATCGTAATCGATTCAAGAGATTGCGACTATGATCGTTTCCTTAAGTGTTCAAAGGAAAATGACAAACTTTATAAATTATTTTTTGGCCGAAACGCTTTTCTGGATTCACTTCATTTTAAAAGCCAACTAGAATTGGTACTTGAGGAGCTGTATGCCAAAACAGATTCAAATATAGTGCTTACCTTTCTGGATCACCAGAGACTACCCCCGGTATTTTGGTGGGGTTTGTGTTGCTCAGTCTTTAGTCTTTGTTGTTGTGTTTTATAGACCTTTGTTTGTCCTTGTTTTTCTTTTAGTTTTTTTGCCATTACATTGTCAGTTCGTTTTCGATTTATGAGTTTAGATATCCCGTTGGTATCTTCAGCCTCTGTTAAAATATATGACATTTGTTTTAATTGTATTTTGGTGTAATTTTCTGCTGGTGTTATTGTAAAATTTACGTACAATGTGTTGCATGACAGTACATTGATAGTTCGTCACTCACTGGCGGAGCAGAGACTCATATCATTTTTGGAACACCTTAATTTGCCTGTATTTTTTGTGGAATTTGATATTGCTTCTTTTGTTTGTTTTCTGTGAAGTATTTAGTCGACTGTAGTTTGTCTGGTTATTTTTATCATTGTGTTCTCTACTGTGAATTATGTTTTTTGTATTGTTTCTGTGATATTTTCTTACGATTCCTTAGATTTGTTCATGGTTCCTCAGTTGAAATGTGGTAACAAAATTATACAAAATATGAATTTCTTATTCAAAATTTAAATAATCATATGTGTATTAGTAAAGTTGTGATAAAACAAACATAGATAGTTAAAGGAAAATCATGTCGCAATAAAAGCTTTTATGAATTTATTGATAAATAATTTCTACACGCTTGGAAGAAGAATACGTATATCATAGAGCGTATGTAAATACCAACGGAACTTTCTAAATAAATAACCCATGCCTATATTTTGCATGCATTCGATTCTTCCCATTCACAAATATTTGCTACCATTATGAATTTTAGTTACTTATACACGTTTAAAAAAACATAGATTTAAGGCAATTTTAGATAGTTTTTGACCAGTGAATAACAGTAACACATTACTAATGAGTACAACGTTAATTATTTACAACTGTTACTGTTGTTTTTTTATGTACAACACTTCTTTATCCTTGCCTTACCTCGATATTTCAGACTCAGAAATCTGTGTCAAAACAACACATTTGTATTATTTATATTCAGAAAAAATTAAACTATGACAACTTACGACTGTTAAAACCCAGTGAGTGTTCATAATATAGGAAAGAAATATAAGCAAACAACCTACTTTGTCAGAACGTTTTCTTCATTCCTAAATGAACAATAATCTTAAAGTAGCAAATTTCACAAACGGTTTGCTGTTCAATTGTGTTCACTTATTTGTTTGCTGCTCGTACATGAACGCACATAATAATTACAAAATCTACACAAAACAAAATACATCAGAGAGTAGACATGTAACGTTTGAATTCCGAAACGATTTTTGAAATCAGCGAAAAACTTCCATCCATTTTAATAATCTTATATTATTAAGTCCTTTTTTCATTACTTAGGAACTGGCAAAACTTATATTGGTGTTAAACTTGTTTACCTTTTCAACAAATTTAATACCTTAATGCAACAGAGGACGGGTGATACTAAGAATCAGATCATTTTCTGTGGACCTTCGAACAGATCTGTCGATTTAGTAGCACGTGAGTATAGATTTCGTGTTGTACAAATGAGTATCTGACAATTAACACCATGTTTACCATTTGTTTGAAAAACTTTTCACAATGAACAACGTATTATAACTGTTATTGATTTCTACATGGAGATTAGTTAAAACGAACAGGCCAACATTTAGTTGTAGAGACTATTTAAAATCACAATATTACAAAATAGTAGAGTACAACTGGAATCAAGCAGCACTTTTTTTTTGACATAACAAAAAATACAGAAACCCCAGTAATAAGCTTCATATCCATTATTCATTTTTAAATTTACCAATTACTTATATGAAAAATATTGATTGGTTAACATGATATTCCGGGTCCGTGTATATTTGCGTCCATTCGTTTTTCATTTTGAAATATCAAAAACAAAAAACAAAAAACAAAAGTGTTTTCGTTTTTCGTTTTTGATTTCTCAAAAACCAAAACGGAAAACGAAAGTGTTTTCATTTTTTGTTTTTGATTTCTCTAAAACCAAAATGAAAATAAAAAGTGTTTCCGTTTTTCGTTTTTGATTTCACTAAAGATGAATTTTGAATGTAATTTCTCGTTTTATAATGCACAATGTTTTGCTTTCTTGTTTCACAGTCATTGATAGTAAATAATGCCAATGTAAACACACCGGTGTTCTTTCAGCGTAATGTAGACAAAATAGACCGCTGACTTATGAATTGAACTATGGTGATAAATGAATCAAAGCCTTTCAAATTACCTTGTTTATATCTTTACTAAAAAAAAATATTATATTTAAATATTAAACGAATCATAAATTTAAATTGTACAATATAATATTATATAAGTATGGTACAAATAGATAGATTGATTACAACATCACATTAACAAGCACTACAAAAGTCTAAAAGTCTGAAAAGACCAGTTTTTGTCTTAATTTGCATGAACTTTTACTCGACATTCTCCAAAAGTATGACTTGTGTCTTAATTTTTCTTGACAAATTCTCATTTATATTAAATTTGTATGAAATTTACTCGACATATTCTCGACATTCTGAATATGGTCTTAAAATTTCTTGACAAATTCTTGACATTTGAATACTGTCTTGAAATTTCATGACATTTTCTCGACATTCTTATTTTTTCTCAGTATGGCTTGATATATTCTGAACATTTTGAATTGTGTCTTAAATTTACTTGACAGTTCTGAGTTTTACAAATCATGACCAATATTCATTATTTAACTTTAATCTTTATTTCATTATTATATAATATACTGTTGTTTCAAGTTACACTTCTTACAACAAAGATGAAAAGTGGGCATGTAAAATAATTGAAAATTTGGGTATATAAATATTTTTTCAAATGCAAATATGGCTATGAAATCTAATGTATAAAATAATTTAAATGTGGGTGTGTTGATATAAAACAATTTAAATGTGGGTTTTTAGAAAAATTACAAATTTTGATTCCTAAATTTTATAAATTAAATGATTAAAACCAATCATACTGTAGACATATTTCCTTTTACATTCATAATATTCAATATTAATATGGTAAATAATTATTGTACAAAAATGTGGTTTATATAAATAGCGAATTATGATGATAAATCCTTCATTTAACAGAAGAAAAATTTGTGTAATGTCATCTGTTGGAATATATATTAAGTATTACACATGGACAGGATGTTCCCCATAAAATTAAGGTATTCCACACCCCAGAGTACACGCAACTGTCAAATAGAAATTACTGATTTACCTGTAATCCGCCATACAACTTATCAGTTAACCAACCACTACAATTTAAAAAGTTTGTTGATAGATGAAAATTATGAAAATCATCATTTTGATGAAAAAAATTTAATTAAAATGGATTTTCTTCATCAAAATTATGAAGTTAATTATTTTAACATATAAACAAATTGAACAATTCCCAAAGATTAATTTAAAATTATTATCTACTCCAGGAATAATAAAAAAAAAATGTATTTATAATGGGTCCCATCAATGATATGGATCTCAAACAGACTTGCATAATATAGATCTAAACATTTTGTTTCTTTTCGGGAAGGAGTTATCACAAATATTTATTTTTGAAAAAAAATATAAAATTCAACACTCAAATTTTAATAAAAAATGTTTTTGGGTTGTTCTAAAAAATGAATAAGTTTTTTGAATCAATACGAGAACAAATTCTTTACACGAAAGCCCCCCCCCCCCCCCTCTTTTTTTAGCCACACAAACCCAAAAGATGAATTGTGGGGTCCAAAAGAGACACATGGTCACATTTTAAAACTGCCTACAAGACACCTATTTAAGTAAAGCAAATTTGACTGGCAGTTTTGCGAATGGCAAAAATCTTAATGCTATTTGTCAGTTACTTCGACTTATATTCAAGGTGAAAACAATTAATCAAACTTTTAATAAAAATAAATCAAAATAAAACTACATGGGGGATTATTCAAAGTATTCCAACTTAGTTGCACCAAAAGGGTATCTCACTATACCAAATTTATCCTTGATTCTTCAAAGTTTAGTTTAGCCATAATAAAAAGGAGTATACAACAGCAATAGAATATCATAAACAGTGCAGAATTAGTCTGTACACATTTCAGGCGAAATTTATACTGTTGAGATAGTGTCAAGACATATTTAAGACTGTCAAGAATGTGTCGAGACATATTCAGACATTATTTAGAATGTCAAGAATGTGTCAAGACATATTCAGACATTATTAAGAATGTCAAGAATATGTCAAGACAGATCGAGACAAATTTAAGACAGTCAAGAATTGGTCGAGACTAATCCAGACTCTTATCAGATGATACAGGAAGTGTCGAGAAATTTTAAGACAATGTTCATACTGTCAAGACACTTGTCAAGAAAAATCAAGAACCTTATTTGACAAATTCATACTATGTCAAGAATTTTTCGAAATTATTCAGACAAAATAAGAATGTCGAGTAAAAATTCATGCAAATTCAGACAAAAAGTGGTCTTTTCAGACTTTTTGACTTTTGTAGTGAAGGGAGGTTACTACTTTTAAAACTGATAAGAAAACTAGCCCAGTCCTTAAAGTATACATGCACAGCGGTTATCAGATCTATAGTATTTAAATCGAAGTTAATGTCGACGGATGCAAAAGTCTTTATCAACCTGAACAATAAGGGTGCGTGATCTTTACTTTTAAGTTTAGAAAGATTGATCTAAGGTGATAAGACAGGGCCGTAACTAGCCTCTATTACAAGTGAAGCAAAACATATTTTGGGCGAGAGGTCTAGGGCTCAAGGCCCCAGATGATCTGGAAAAAATGACGCAAAATCGTGCATTCTGAACATTTCTTTCGGACCCTTTCTTAATCTAAAACGCAAGTTTTGTTTTATTTATTTTTTCGACAATATATCAAAATATATAGATTCAGTGTAAGACTTTTAGTATTTAGGGACAACATCAAAAGACATATATAGGATAAAGCAAAACATTGTAATCTACATAGTCCGGTGTGTGGCTGTTGTTTTTAGGGTATGAATGGTTCGTTGCCTCGTTGAAGACCCTCCGGCTACTTTCAAGGTGAAGAATAGGAATAAAAGCCCTGTTCATTGATAAATTTCATTTTTTCTATGTATTGTGTGCGATGTTGTCCCATGCACATTTACTCCACATCTCTTTATTTTCTATTTTAGGGCCTAAACAAGGCTCAATGCAAGTTTAGCCTTTCAACGTTAAATTTTAATGTCATATGTTACACTATTGTTTCGGGTAAGGGTGAATTTGGTACCTATTAAAACGTTTAAACCCGCTGCATTTGTTTTTCCCGTTAGAATGGTTTTGCACTGGTCATTTTGGGGCCCTTTGTAGTTTGCTGTTCGGTGTGAGCCAAAACTCCGTGTTGAAGACCGTACTTTGACCTTTAATGGTTTTTCTTTTACAAATTGTGACTTGGATGGAGAGTTGTCTCGTTGGCACTCATACCACATCTTCTTATATCTATATATGGTCTTTTTAAATGAATTGATGTCGGGAGATTGGAATTTCTAGCTTTAGTTTAACCCATGTCAGCTTTTTATTTGTATTTACAGAAAAGAGAGCCAGTTTTGTATTCTTTAATATACTGTAACAGTTTAATTTTCCATGAAAAAGGGACAGTTTTTTCTATGTCCGGTAGCATCGTATCATATCTAGACATCGGTAGGCATATATAATTGCAAAACCACACATGACCGTTCATTAGTATTCGTAGATCTATTCCAAGTTTTAATAAGTCTACACAAAGCAGAAAATGAACTTTTACAACAAGGAATATTACACAACTGAGGCCATAGTCATAAAGATCGATTGACTGATTGGTGTTCCTTTAACGTCGCCGCAGAACGAAAAAATATTATCTGATATTCATTCTCAACATCTTCAATCTCTATTGTTCCCAAGGAAGCAACCATTTGATTCTCTGGGATGGGGCAGGGATTTTTACCCGAAGTTAATACTTTTGTTTAACCCAGACCATAAAACATGCCTTTATCCACGGCCATTCACAAACACAACTGGATATCATTGAGATGGGAGCCATCTCTGTGGGCCCCGCTGTGAATAATGTGCATTAAAAAAATTATATCTTTACCATAGGACATGGGTTTGTCAACTGAAACCAAAGTTTTTGATCTTGACCTTTGACCTAGGAAGTTGTACATAAATTATGACACACCCTCTGCTGTTGGTTTATATACATGTCAAGTATAAACTTTGAAATCATAATGGTTCTCAAGATACAACTAGATATCATTGAGATGGGAGCCATCTCTGTGGTCTCCGCTGTGAATAATGTGCATTAAAAAAATTGTATCTTTACCAAAGGACATGGGGTTCTCAACTGAAACCAAAGTTTTTGACTTTGACCTTTGACCTAGGAATTTGTACATACATTATGACACACCCTCTGGTATTGGTTAATATACATGTCAAGTATAACCTTTGAAATTGTAACAGATAAAAATATAGAGTGGACACAATTTGTTGGGGACGGACGGACGG